AATTTAACTTATTAAGCACTTAGTTTTAATAATTTTATTTATTTATTTCATTTTTTTTTATTCCATATTTAAAATAACAACAATCTTAAACATAATAGTTATTACATAGCATGAACATAAATATCCTAGGCCAATGACAGTTGTCCACGAATATACAATAAGTGGATATAACAGTTGGCTTGAAACGATAATCTTCAGAGCGAGGAGTTGCAAAGAAACAAAAGAAATGTTTACATTTTCTTGTGTGAGTAAGTGTATGAATAAAATTGTGTTGATGAGTAAAGAATTGTATACATGTGTATATATTTGTATACGTGTATATGGGTATTATAATAATAACTACCGTGAGTTATACTGTATATCGATTATTCACGTCGGCTTTACCAATACTAGTCCGACAATTCCGAATATAAATATGAGAGAAAAATCGATATAAATAATTAAAATGTGTGGTCAGAGAGCAAACAATCAAATAGCAAACGAACAAATGGACGCCGTGGAAAAACGGAAATTGCTGGGCGGAAATCAAGCAATTAATCACGTGCGGAAGAAAGCAATTGTCTGTCAATACACAATGTACGTATGACTTCTATGAAAGTTAATTTAAGAAATGTAATTGTTGAATTAGTATACAAGATGTTATTGCATCTGGTTAGTTAGTTTGTTCTGGTATTTCCGCACTTAGCCTTATGATTTTTTTATTAAGCAGATTATTTGATTAAAATTGTTTTGTTTAATTTCGTTATAATTAGTATGTGTGTGATTGCCAATACTAGAAGATTGACTACCACTAACCACTATTACTATCAAAAGTCCCATAACCTTTCATATGAGCCATCAATCTCCGACTTTTTTTTTATACAACTTAGTGAAAAATACGTGAAAAATACCAACTATTAATTCTAGAATAATTCATAGCATTATTTTTATCTAAATTAACGCGGGCAAAGCCATTTTATACGGTAGTCAAGTACATAATAATCTATTATCATTTTACAGTCATGACTCGCCTTTCCAAACATTGTGAAAGAGTTCCGTGATGCAATTATAAATAACACGAAGTATTGAAGACAATCGCTATTAATTACATTTGCTACAGTAAATATCGAAATTATAGGAAACATAACTAATAAAAATACAAGAAGAAATACATGTCTCATACTCACAATAATAACTCTTGATGAGGCAATCAGAAACACCGTATAAACACCAGAAGGAGACTTTGTACAAAAGTCGATTGCTTGGGTGCCTCTGTTCCATTCGTGTTTCAACCGTAAAGTAGTTGTGTTTGCATGGCTGTGTTTCGGTTTGAAGGGTGAGATATGGCGTGAATTTACTGGGTACAGAGGAATAACACCCGAGTCCTCAGAAATGGCAACGCATGAGGGGTATCTCTTTGTTTTTTTTTCTCAATGTACTCTACCCAAAGTTTGTCTGGAAGGGATTGCTTAGCGATAAGGGCGCCTTTTGTATCAATTCTCATTAATATTTACTGTATTTGTTATTTTTTTACATGATACAATAAAGTATGAATAAATATTTTTTATTATTACAGGCTACAACGGCCCAATTTGTTAGTAAGACAATCTCAGCCTAATATTAGTACATATATTTTTTTATACCACTGAGGTGGCAAACAAGCATACGGCCCACCTGATGGTAAGCGGTTACCGTAGCCTATGAACGCCTGCAATACCAGAGGTATTACGCGCGCGTTGGCGACCCTGAAGAAACCTCTTTACCCCCTTTTGAAGAACCCCATGCTGTAGTCTCTCGAGAAAACCTCGGCAGGGAGCTCATTCCATAACCTGAGTGTTCGTGGGAGAAAGCATCTCTGAAACCGCGTTGTACGCGACCATTTAGGCTGTAAGGTATGAGGGTGAACTCCCTGTCGATGACGAGCCGTACGATGATAGAAAGTGGCAATTAGCCGTGTGATCTTGGCATAGGTCACCCTTCGTATCCCGTGGGTGTCGTAAGAGCCGACTAAAGGAGAGCGAGGGAAGGGCAGCAGCGTCCTTCTTAAAACATCTCTAAAGGCCGACTGCGGTTGCCAATCCGCCTGCCAAGCGTGGCAACTATTGATAAAACCTCCAAAAGGGACTATAAACAATTTGGACATCGCTGAAGCATCCTATTTGAGACACCACATCATTGACCAATGTAGAGGCAGTCCAACTTACTTGCAATCATATTCGAGACGCCGTTGATGCTACCCTGTATCCTATGCATCAGTGATGCGCATCTTTTACGCATTGTGGTATAAAAGCAATTTACGTAAGCTGCAAACATCCCTGATGCACTACAAAATCGTAGCAATCCCAGGAGCGCTCTGAATGTATTATTATATTGAATACGAAGGTGGCTAAAGGATTTTGGGGTATAACTAGCCCACAGAATGCACGTATAAAAGGATGTATATTATGTTATGTATTTTGTAAAATATTGTGTCATAATGAGCAGAACTATAGTAATAAATAAATAAACTGAGAAATTCTATATATTTGAAATCGCTTAAAAATAAATCGATTTATTGAAAGAACATTTTTGTTGTTGACTGTACATAGAATTGTTACATCATAAAATTTCGTACACGTCCCATAAACTCAGTTATGTATATCGATAAAAAATGGAATCAACATTTCTAGAATCGCATAAGTTGGTACTCGTACGTAATACATCAGACACATCGTGCGGTCACGAGTCCGACTTCAAGATTGATGAGTCTCAGCCTACAATGTGCTTACAAACAGGAAATGTATTGAAATGCGTCGTTACTCAAACTTCCAACATGAAAGTCTGTGCCTCAAGCATACATATATGAATTCTCATAACAGCATACTGTTTCTTGAAAACCCGTTATCATTTTAAAATATCCAGTACTAAGTAAATGTGTAGTATTTTTTTCGCAAGAAAATGTAATCAACGTCGTACGAGTATAACGCGTTTACATAAAAGTTAGTCAACAAGTGTCACTAGAATATTACACTGGCTAACAAATAAAAAACAGTATCTTTGAATTTGAATAACACAGTAGGTAAGTACAAAATAATGCGCGTTGTAATAGATTAATAACTAAAAATATATGTATTGGGTAAAAAATAATTCTTCTCTACTTTCCTATTTTGAATCGGTTTTAAAAACAAAGATAAACTGAATGCGGTCGTATTTTTTTTTTTATATATTTGTTATTATTATAGATTTTTTTCAAATTTAAATAAGACCAAATAAAGTACACCTCATCTCAAAATATCTACTCTGATAAAAGCTGAATGAATCATTAACTAAATTAACTGTAATCTAAATAAATAAATAAAAAAAGAACCTATAAATAATATTGGTAACAGACAAACTTGATTGAAACAGAATGCCGAAAACAAATGAAATGAAAATTAAATTAATGAAAAGTAATTATTCATCTGCCAATGAAACGAATATGTACTGTGAATTTTTAATATTAATTGATAATGTTAATTATGTGTTTACTCAGAGGCTCCATAAATAATACGTCGGTGTTCACTTTCACTGACGGACAAGGTGCGAACCGCCATAACGAATCACTTATTTCCGTTGTTTATATTTACCTACATCGTTACGTAACGATATGACGGTAAGAGGTTTGATTTAATACTGTTAGCAGTTAAGAGCGTTCATGCTTTAACTTATCGAAGTATAGCAACGTCGCATATATCTGTCAATTTCAAATAAAAATTGAACATTTTTTTAATGTTTCGATTTTATTGTATGTCAAATATAGAGTGGAATAAAGAACCTCTTTTTTGAAGTCGGTTAAAAAGTGTTCTGCTAAACTAAAACGTAAATCACATAATACGTTGCAGATAAATAAATAACTTTAAACTTTGTACATATTTCATATTTAGTTTTCGAACTTTTTAAATACTTTTTTTATCGTTAAAATAAGAAAAATCAGTGATAGCTTCATATTATTGCCTAATTAACGATTTAGTTCGCTAGCAAAGACTTTTTAATTGACGTTAAATTAATTTTTTGAACATAAGTAGTTAAAATATATATTATTACATTTTTATTCATAATATAATGTTATAAATAAAAATAAATACTATATATTTAAATACTAATATATTTAAATATAACTATATACAGTTAGTTAAAAAGAAAAGTTAATAAAAATTAAATAAATTAGAATATTAACTATTATATATTATATAGTAATATCCTATTATATAACATATTAATATGTGATGGTATTAAAATTTACAATCTACTATCAAAATAAATAAATAAAGCAATAAAATTATATATACATTCAATTGTTATAAAAGTAGATGGTTCTTCCTGTAAACCTTTATGTATACGAGTGTATTTTAATGTGTGATTCATGTTACTGTATTTTTTTGAAAAAGTTTAGCTCATTTATATATTTTTGTTTGCATTTAAATGTTGCAATGTTGCAAAGTTAAAGTTAAGCTAAAGTTATGAACGCTCTTAACCAATGGACAAGCATTGTGTAGGAAAAAACTATTGTTCTTTTATCACTTGACTGCAAAAAGAAGAGATTATCAATTTGTTTTTTTTTGTAGGTATATTACAAAATATATTAGGTAACTGTATGTCGATTTTGATTATTTTTGTTTTGTTTTTATACAACTTAGAATGGCAAACAAGCTGACGGTCCACTTGATGGAAAGTGGTAATCGTCGCCTATAGATATGAGCAGTACTATGGACATAACAGAGTATACTGTTTCGCCCATGGTACCCCCCATGCGTTGCCATTCCTGAGGACTCAGGTATTATTCCTCCGTACCCAGTAAATTCACACCATATCCCACCCTTCAAACCGAAACATAGTCATGCAAATACAACTGCTTTACGGTTGAAACACGAATGGGACAGAGGTACCCAAGCAATAGTACTTTTGTACAAAGTCTCCCTATGGTAGACTTTGTATTTATATATTTCTATTCTTAGATTTATATTGTTGTTCCTAATATTAAGTTTGTATTTAATTTGTTTCAGGTGAGGTGACATTCATTGGAATATGATCGAGTTTCATTCACATATCATTAAAAAGTAAGTATTTATCAACTTGATATTATTTTAAATGCATTTAGGAATTCTAAATTGTAATACATGAGTCAGGCGTAATGATGTTTGAAATAAGTGATCTGAAAATTTACCAATTACTTGTTTTTTTTCCATTTCTTATTCCTTTCGTGGGGGTGGGAAATGGGAATACATTAGAGGCAGCCTAGAGGCAGCCTAGAGGCTGAGTGTATTCCTCATTATACATATATTATTATATATATTATACATCAAATGAAGTTGTTGGAAGCTAAATGTTTCAACCTTGTTAATTATTAGCTATTCTCAGCGGTTTAGTTCGTGATTATATCATAATATTGAATAATATTTCTCAAGAAATGAGTTATAAAATGCAAAAAGTTTTTTTTCAAATTTGATTGGTAGTTTCCGAGATTAATGCATTCAAACAAACAAATTCTTCGCTTTATATGTTAGTAGGTATAAATTAATTTAAATACCTATATATTTCTAAGGATACGAGTATCTATATTAAACATGACCGAAGTGAAACACGTATGGGCTCTTCTCTGTACAATAATTTTGTATAATTTAGGGCATTCGTCCTCACAAACTAAATGGTCGTGCACAGTGCGGTTTCAGAAGAAATTTCTCCTGTAAATGCTTAAGCTGTTAAACGAGTTCCTTGCCGAGGTTTTGTCTAGAGACTACAGTATGGGGTTCTTCAAAAAGGAGTATTAAAGTTTCTTTAGATTTGACAACGCGCAACACCCCACAGTGTTACAAGCGTCCATAGACTAGCGACCGTTTAGCTCATCGCGGCTATATATATATATATATATATATATATATATATATATATATATATATATATATATATATTACGATTGTTTGCCATCTTCGTGGTATAAAAAAAATTACAATATTCGTGAATTAAACCATTGGCAAATTAGTGGTGCATATTGAAATAGTAATACAGGTATTACGTTCCGATCATTTGATATCTAGCTCGGAGTTGCCTTACCAACTCATTGTTGTTAATTGCATAAACCAATAAATAAACACATAAAACACCAGTTATAAATTAACATTTTACATTAATAGGTAGATATTCAAATTACATAAATAGGTAAAATGATTCATTTGTACTTTAAATATATTTAAAACCAGCTTTTTGTCTTCTACTTTATACTTACGTGTGGGTTTTAGAAGTAAAATTAGTTTATTTAGTTAAAGGTTATTCTATTTTGGTCACAACTAAAAACTCGCTCTGGTTTTGTACAGATTTTTGAACATATATAAAATGCAAACCATATTACTCGGTCTCTAAAGCAACTTTCTAGAGGTGAGAGATTTTAAAATTTTTTGATCATTACAAATAAAAATCAAATCTTGTCTCTTAATAATAAAGGACTAGTTTTTATTCGTGACTTCGTCTGTGTGTCCGAAATAAAAAGTCACCTATATCTTTTTGAAGAAGATAGATATAGGCGACTTTTTATTCCGCTATATTCCATATAGTATCTGTGTATAAAATTTCATAGTAATTGGTTAAGTTGTAGCTGGTCACATTAAATGACCGATGTGAACAACGTACGATTACCTACCGCTGTTAAACAGCTAACTTAAAGCGAGTAGTCCCGTCACCGAGTACGAGAAATTGCACGTCCGACCTACCCACGTGTAATTGTAAATACTCCGATAATTTAAGATCATCTGTTCCACAAAGTCATTAAAGCTAAGAAGTTAACAAACTCACTTTCATATTTATAATATTAGTAAGGATTAGACGAACATTGATGGAGGTTTATGTCCTGCTGTGGACGAACAAAGACAGACAGAGAGTAACAAATTGTTTCGGGACTATAGAATACGGTACATGAATTGATTATCCCTCTCGTATTACAATAATATAATTAGATTTTCGTAATGACACCGCATTCATGACCAATGATTGTTATTGTGCACCGTGATTACCAGTTTAAAGAACCAATTCTCGATAATATTATTTCAAATCACTTTAGGTCACGAGTGATATGAACATTACATACGATTATTATCATTCGTATGCAGGATTATTACGAAATAATAATCGATTGTCGATTCGATTATACCCAAATCTTGTGCGTGATTCTTTCTTCGATAGGTTATCGTCACGTTTACCGAGCGATTAGTAAAATCGATATAATTATCTTGATAAGGATTACTAAATACATCATGCGTCTGTGTTGTTTTTACTTTTTACTCAACCATCATTTAAGAAGACGATTATCATTAAAATCGATACAAAATTCACCTTTGTATATGACGTTTAAAATTAATTGTTCTTAATATTGTGTTTGGTACAATAAAGCATAAAGAAAGAATAAAGGAAGTTAGTGAAGATATCGTGTAAAATATATTGAAAAATTACCAGGGTTTGGAAAATAAATATACATGAATTTTTTTTTCTATTCATGCATTTTTTGTAACATTAAACATTGTTATACTCTATTTCGATAAAATTCAATGAAAGTGTAACCAAGTTGTGTTGAAATTATTACAGTAAACAATCTCTCAATTAAATTAGAAAAAAATTATAACGTTCAATCGAGCGGACTTATAGTTGTGTCAATTATTCTTTTGTTTACTTTTTGTTACATTCTTTTGAAACAGACTATACCTACATGTATACCCTTCGGTGGTGGTGGTGGTGGTGATCGATAATGGACAGTTAATGGCTGATATAATGACGATAACACTTACATGTATATTCACTAAATTTTTAATATGAAATATTTGAAATGGTAGGTCCTTCCATTCAAATTGTAAAAGGCGACTAAGGGCATTTAATGGTCGAGGTATAAGAAGCAGCGTCCTTTCTAAAACATCTGCGATTGCTAAGCCTAACAACTACGGGCAAAACCCCCCCTTATGGGGGAAGCCTACGATCAACAGTGGGCAGTTAATAACTGATATGAATGAATGGATGAATTCGAAATGGTAGAACGTTTTTTATTATTTAATACTATTTATTTAACTTTATTTAGTTTAAATACCTATAGAAAAATTACACAATGAATTAGAATTAAAGATTAAGTTAAAAATATTTTAAAATAATAATTATCTAAGTATAAAATTAAGATTGTGTTAAAAAATCAACATCATCAATTGTGACATAACTACTTATGTTGATTTTAAAATTAAACCACTAAACCGATTTTAATATAGTTTCTATGGAACCAATATATTTTTATATTCCTTCAGCTAAAAAAAGAATTTTCCAATTTGGTTTACAACTGACGGAGTTATGAGGTAACAAACAACAAACAAAAAAAATACAACCGAATTGAGAAACACTTTCTTTTTAAAATCGGTTGAAAACTAAAATAAATGGCTAAATATATTTTGATCAAGATCTTACGTTACTTAGCTTGCGATCGATAGCTATCTTCGATCAATCCAATTTCATGGAAGCACAATCAATTTTACATTAAACCATACATATGCAATCCAGATTGGGCAAGAAACGGAGATAACATAGTGTAATTTACAAGTATATTTTACATAAGACGCTTCTAAGAAACCAGTGCATTTGCACTTGCAAAATATATTTTCACTTTCATTTTTCGTAATTCAAGACAATAAAGTATGTCTCAATGGGAATATTTTACAAAAAACTTGTCATATTTAATGTTAGTTCTATCTTATTATATATTAGTGTGGTACCTGTTTTTCAAGATTGCTCCTAGGCAGTTGCAATGAACTATGCAATAAATGTGACCTCAAGATATGTTCCTTGATTTTTTTTATGATACTTGCTTAGAATGGCAAGCAATCTGGGTGGAAGGGATTGTTAGTATTGCGGATTATTAATCCCATTGCTAACAATATACCCTAACAGGTCAACCTCCCCGTGATCTCCCCTGGAAACCAACACGCTGAATTCCAAGTGTACTCATCACGATGGGCTAACTGACCTGGCTTTTCATCCTCACTTATCATCCCTCATTGGTGCCCCGCTAGCGTATACCGTTAACGCAGGCAGGTTACTTAATATAATTCATTAAAAAAAAAAATACGTCCTATTTTATTAATTTTAATTGCAATATTTAAATTTTTTTTTTAATTTTCTAAATACCGGTAACTCATAAATAAATAAAGTAGTCTGTCTAACATTACACTTCAGCGTTTATTCTAAATTTAAATTTGAAATGTACGTGTACAATTTGATATAAGCGCATAAAGTATCTACTTGTATTTATAACTAGGGAAATTATCACGAAACTCACGACTCGAATGAAAATCTTTAGTATGTTCTAGTTAATAGGCATTGCAATTAGACTGTGCCCATAAATTCACATTAAATCCACTCTGATCTGCTTGACGTGGTTCAAATTTAATTGAGTACTAACAAAGTAACGAAGACTTATATTAAGTAGATATACAGTCTTTATTCGTGACTGTAGTCCTATTCATTTGATTTGTTACTGTGGAACCTTCTATTCAAATGTATTAGATATATACAAATAATATAGGTACTGCAGTCTAATTGTGAGATCGCAAAAACTACTGGATTTAATATATAAAAAAATTGGGACGTATAATTTGTATAACACTAAAAATGCATAGAATTTAACAATGACGATGATATTATCTCAGATGGCCCATTGCGACCAATGCATTAAGGGGCGGAGATTGACATATAGAGTAAATTGCTAGCAATGAGGCTGTTGGACACTGATGAAGTCAGGTTTTTTTTTTGATGAGTAAAAATGGTATGGTAACCCCGCCTGCGCTCACGGGATACGCTGGCGGAGCACCATTGAAGGGTGATAGATGAGAATGAAAACAGATCAGTTAGCTCATCATGATGAATTCATCAGGATATTCATATCCATGATAGTTTCCAGGGAGAACCGCGAGGAGGTCGACCTAGTTGGGTATATTACTAGCAATGGGATTCTCAGTTTCCATTACTAACAATCCCTTTTCCCCCGATGAAGTCAGGTTAGGTTACTTATCTTGGCGAATTATTTAAAAATTAGTCA